CCACTCTCACCATTTTTATTCGACATAGTACTGGAAGTCCTATCTGCAGCAATCAGAAAAGAAAAAGGAATAAAAGGCATCCAAATCAGTATGGAAGAAGTAAAACATTCACTATTTGCAGATGACATGATACTGTATATAGAAAACCCTTAATACTCCCCCCAAAATCTTACTGGTAACTGAGTTCAGCAAGGTCACAGGATACAAAATCAATTTAAAGAAGTCTGTTGCATTTCTATACACTAATAATGAAGGAGCTAACAGAGCAAATAAGAAAACAATCCCATTTGCATCTGCACCAAAAACTATAAACCCTGAAAGCTATAAAACACTGATGAAAGAAATTGAAGACAGAAACAAATGGAAGGACATCCTATGCTCACAGATTGGGAAAACAAACATTGTTAAAATGTCTGTACTACCCAAAGCCATCTACAGATTTTACACAATCTCTGTGAAAATACCAACAACGTTTTTCACACAATCCTAAAATTTGTATGAAACCACAAAAGGCCCCAAACAACCAAAGCAATCTTGAAAAAGAAAACAAAACTATGTGCCACAATCCCAGATTTCAATTTATACTGCAAAGCCGTAGTAATCAAAACAGTATGGCTCTGGCATAAAAATAAACATACAGACCAAAGGAACAGAATAGAGAGCCCAGAAATAAACCCACACTCATATGGTCAATTAACCTTTGACAAAGCTGGAAAGAATATGCAATAGGAAAACGACAGTCTCTTCCACAAATGGTGTCAGAAAAACTGTACAGCAAGATGCAAAAGAATGAAAATGAACCACTTTCTTACACCATACACAAAAATAAACTCAAAATGGATTAAAGACCTGAAACCATAAAAATCCTAGAAGAGAGCACAGGCAGTAATTTCTCTCACACTGGTTGTAGCTATGTTTTTCTGGATATGCCTCCTGAGGCAAGGGAAATAAAAGCAAAAATAAACTACTGAGACTATATCAAAATAAAAAGCTTCTGCACAGGAAAGGAAACAATCAACAAAACTAAAAGACAACCTACTGAATGGGAAATGATATTTGCAAATGACCTATCCAATAAAGGGTTAGTATCCAAAATATATAAAGAACTTCTACAACTCAACACCAACAAAACCCAAATAATCTGATTAAAAAATGGGCAGAAGACACGAACAGACATTTCTCCAAAGAAGACATACAGATGGCCACAAGACACAAGAAAAGACACTCAGCATTACTCATCATCAGGAAAATGCAAATCAAAACTACAATGAGATGTCACTGACACCTGTCAGAACGGCTAAAATCAAAAACTAAAGAAACAACATGTTGACAAGGATGTGGACAAAAAGGAACCCTCGTGCACTGCTGGTAGGAATGCAAACTGGTGCAGGCACTGTAGAAAACAGTATGGAGGTTCCTTCGAAGATTAAAAACAGAAAGACCATATGATCCATTGGTTATGCTACTGGGTGTTTACCCAAAAACTACATAAACACTAATGGTAGGAAGGGATACATGCCCCCCCTATGCTTACTACATGATGTACAATAACTCAAATTATATAGCCCAAGTGCCCAGTGCTGTGGATAACTAAACGGATAAAGATATGGTGTGTGTACACACACACACACACACACACACACACACACACACACACACACACACACACACACAGAGGAATATTATTCAGCCACAAAAAGAATGAAATCTTGCCATTTGCAACAGCATGGATGAATCTAGAGAGTATATGCTATAGATTATAATGTTATACAAATAATATGAACAAAAGGTCAGAGAAAATACCGTATGAATTTGCTTGGATGTGGAATTTAAGAAACAAATTACCAAAGGTAAAATGAGACAAACCAAAAAAAACAGATTTTAAACTCTAGAGAACAAACTGATGATGGTTATTGGCGGTATGGGGCGTGAAACGAGTGAAGGGCATTAAGAGTACACTTATCTTGACAAGCACTGAGCAATGTACAGAACTGTTGCTTCACTGTATTGTACCCCTGACATCAATAGAACACCATGTGTTGTCTACACCGAATTAAAATTGTTTAAAATTAAAATTAAAATAAATTATGTATAAAGCTGTAAAAAATAAGTAAGTAATAAATAAATAGATACGTAAAATGGTTCTTTTTTTTTCAACTTTTTTTTTTTTTATTTATTTTTTCGGACAGAGACAGAGCATGAATGGGGGAGGGCAGAGAGAGGGGAGACACAGAATCGGAAACAGGCTCCAGGCCCTGAGCCATCAGCCCAGAGCCTGATGCGGGCTCGAACTCATGGACCGTGAGATCGTGTCTGGCTGAAGTCAGACGCTTAACCGACTGTGCCACCCAGGCCCCTCTTTAACTCATTTTCTCCACTAGAAGAAACTGATTTCAGGAAGTCATTTGTTTTGTTTTCCCATTTTTCCCATGTACCTTCCTAATTTTTTCCAAGGTATTTAAAGGTGTTAATAACAGCAATAAGAATAAAATGATAATGGCAACTAAAATACTGGTTATTTATTACGTACCAGAAGCTATGCCAAGCACATTTGTTAGCTCACTTGAAATATTAGGTCACTTGGACTATTCTTATGTTCATTTACCAGATGAGGAAACTGACCTTAGGTTGATGTCACATTTCCAAGATCATAGAGCTTGGCACAGAGCTTAAGCATAGAGCTTGACCAGGCCTTTACTAATTCGGAAAATACCCGTAACTACTGTCAAATCCCACTTACTCCTTCCATGGTAAGAACACAGGACACATCTCCACACCTGGCTGAAATTTCCATGGTCACAAAACAGACTAAACCCAAGCCAGTCAGCTCACATGGTCTAACTGAGACCTTGGGTGACGGGTGGCTCAATCCACCTATCATCACCACACTTAAAAATACAGTGCAGCTTGTTGCTCGGTTTTATGCTACTTAGCAATCACCTGAAATAAGGTAACATCAGATACCTTCCTCGCTCTCTGGCCCCACCCATTTTTCTATAGAATTCTATAAAATATAAATATTTAAAATGAGGATTTTGCACGTTAGAAAGTGGCTTCTCCGAAGGGAACCTCATGAAATGCTAAATTAGGTGTTTTCAGAGTTTAAGTGCTACCAGAATTTGAGTGAGCACATCAGCATAGCCTAGTGTTGCTGAGGAAAGCATCAAACCACCCCACCTTTGTAAAAAAGACTGCATGTAAGAGGTGCTTTAAGTCTCCCAGACGCAGAATCCACCATCGTGAATAACAGCAGAGGTGGAGGCTTTAGGTGACAAAGCAAGAGAAAGAGAGGCAAATGAGCTTGGTTCGTACCATACATTTTGTTACACGTTTCCTCTTTGCTCCTCACAGCCTCCAACGTTAAAAGACCCATCATTAACAGGCACTGGTCAAAGCAGCTAACCAAGCTGCCCGCCTCTGATCACGGGTCCTTCTAGGCCCTTGCCATCTCCTGGTGGACGCCTCTGCCTCTCCCTCCCCTAAGGAGAAGCAGGACCACACAAAAGTAGGATCAAATGCTTTTAATAACGCAAGCTATACAGGCAACAGACTAACCTCCCGTGCTTTTTCATTTTTTGCTAGAGGTTTTACAGCCTCCTCTGGGAATATGAGCCACCAGTGGCCATTTACCACAATTCATGGAGGGTCCACGGAAGGATGAGCTGCCTTGATCCAAACTTCTGGGACTGAAACGGTCAGAGTGGGAGGACTTCACGGGCCACTTAATCTGAACTCTTACCGATGCAGAAGATCCTTGTTAATCCATCTCTCTGTTTAAACACTGTGACAAAGTCCTTATCTCCCAAGGTAGGCCAGCTCCTCGCGCTGTGTGTGTTGCATGCGTGTTGAGTGTGTGGCGTGGTTGGGGAAGGATTTATAGCCTGGGGAAAAAACCAGTAAATCTAATGCCGCTTCCTCATCAAATACTACAGGAATAATATCCCTGTTGTTCCCTTGTCCTGGTTCAGAGCCAGTGTGAAAGCTGTTCCTCCTCCTTATTGGACATCACTTCCAGATTACTGACAAAACATGGTCACGCTCTCCTCATAATCTTCTGGTTTGTCAAATTTATTCATGTTTTAACACCTTGCTTTGCTCCCAAAAAGGATCTAAAGAGCTCATGCCTCCCTTATAAAACAACATCTGTAAGGACGGTAGGTTTTTCAAATTCTAACACAGTAGGCAATTCAAATATGAAAATAACTTTATGGCTATGTCTTAACAAAAGTAAGTATGTATATAAATATATAACAAAATCTTTGTGGGGAGTCATTACAAGCATGACACATCACTAGCCATTCCCCACTCTGGTCTTCTTAGCTAAAGCCAAAAATATTTTACCCAAGCAAAAATAGCCTTTGACACCAGTGAAAGCTACTATCAGCTTTCTTTTCCTCGAATACAGTCACATCAACAACCAAAGCAGAACACTGTTCTGTGAAGTACTATGCAGCCACTAAAAGAAAGTACACTGATAGGAATGATCTCTAGAACTCAAAAAATGAAAAACAGCTAGGTACAGCACCACACGGTAGACCGTGTGACCATTTCATTTAGAATCACACACATTTGTGTACGCGGCGCATGTGTATGTATCTATATAGACAGATGTTTACACAGACACAAAATGGCTGTGAATAGCAAGTAAGAAACTGGTCATTGTGGTTGCTTCAGAGGAGGAAAAGCGGGATCGGGGGCCAAGAAATAAAATTAGTATCCAAAATATATAAAGAACTTCTACAACTCAACACCAACAAAACCCAAATAATCTGATTAAAAAATGGGCAGAAGACACGAACAGACATTTCTCCAAAGAAGACATACAGATGGCCACAAGACACAAGAAAAGACACTCAGCATTACTCATCATCAGGAAAATGCAAATCAAAACTACAATGAGATGTCACTGACACCTGTCAGAACGGCTAAAATCAAAAACTAAAGAAACAACATGTTGACAAGGATGTGGACAAAAAGGAACCCTCGTGCACTGCTGGTAGGAATGCAAACTGGTGCAGGCACTGTAGAAAACAGTATGGAGGTTCCTTCGAAGATTAAAAACAGAAAGACCATATGATCCATTGGTTATGCTACTGGGTGTTTACCCAAAAACTACATAAACACTAATCGGAAGGGATACATGCCCCCCTATGCTTACTACAGCATGATGTACAATAACCAAATTATGGAAGTAGCCCAAGTGCCTGTGGATAACTAAACGGATAAAGAAGATATGGTGTGTGTACACACACACACACACACACACACACACACACACACACACACACACACACACACACAGAGGAATATTATTCAGCCACAAAAAAGAATGAAATCTTGCCATTTGCAACAGCATGGATGAATCTAGAGAGTATATGCTATAGATTATAATGTTATACAAATAATATAGAACAAAAAAGGTCAGAGAAAGAAAAATACCGTATGAATTTGCTTGGATGTGGAATTTAAGAAACAAATTACCAAAGGTAAAATGAGACAAACCAAAAAAACAGATTTTAACTCTAGAGAACAAACTGATGGTTATTGGCGGTATGGGGCGTGAAACGAGTGAAGGGCATTAAGAGTACACTTATCTTGACAAGCACTGAGCAATGTACAGAACTGTTGCTTCACTGTATTGTACCCCTGACATCAATAGAACACCATGTGTTGTCTACACCGGAATTAAAATTGTTTAAATTAAAATTAAAAAATAAATTATGTATAAAGCTGTAAAAAATAAGTAAGTAATAAATAAATAGATACGTAAAATGGTTCTTTTTTTTCAACTTTTTTTTTTTTTATTTATTTTTTCGGACAGAGAGAGACAGAGCATGAATGGGGGAGGGGCAGAGAGAGAGGGAGACACAGAATCGGAAACAGGCTCCAGGCCCTGAGCCATCAGCCCAGAGCCTGATGCGGGGCTCGAACTCACGGACCGTGAGATCGTGACCTGGCTGAAGTCAGACGCTTAACCGACTGTGCCACCCAGGCGCCCCTCTTAACTCATTTCTCCACTAGAAGAAACTGATTTCAGGAAGTCATTTGTTTTGTTTTCCCATTTTCCCATGTACCTTCCTAATTTTTTCCAAGGTATTTAAAGGTGTTAATAACAGCAATAAGAATAAAATGATAATGGCAACTAAAATACACTGGTTATTTATTACGTACCAGAAGCTATGCCAAGCACATTTGTTAGCTCACTTGAAATATTAGGTCACTTGAACTATTCTTATGTTCATTTACCAGATGAGGAAACTGACCTTTAGGTTGATGTCACATTTCCAAGATCATAGAGCTTGGCACAGAGCTTGGCATAGAGCTTGGACCAGGCCTTTACTAATTCCGGAAAAATACCCGTAACTACTGTCAAATCCCACTTACTCCTTCCATGGTAAGAACACAGGACACATCTCCACACCTGGCTGAAATTTCTATGGTCACAAAACAGACTAAACCCAAGCCAGTCAGCTCACATGAGGTCACAACTGAGACCTGGGTGACGGGTGGCTCAGCACACCCTATCATCACCACACGAAAAAATACAGTGCAGCTTGCTGCTCGGTTTTATGCTACTTAGCAATCACCTGAAATAAGGTAACATCAGATACCTTCCTCGCTCTCTGGCCCCACCCGTTTTCTAGAATTCCTATAAAATATAAATATTTAAAATGAGGATTTTGCACGTTAGAAAGTGGCTTCTCCGAAGGGAACCTCATGAAATGCTAAATTCGGTGTTTCAGAGTTTAAGTGCTACCAGAATTTGAAAGGTAGACATCAGCATAGCCTAGTGTTGCTGAGGAAAGCATCAAACCACCCCACCTTTGTAAAAAGACTGCATGTAAGAGGTGCTTTAAGTCTCCCCAGATCGCAGAATCCACCATCGTGAATAACAGCAGAGGTGGAGGCTTTAGGTGACAAAGCAAGAGAAAGAGAGGCAAATGAGCTTGGTTCGTACCATACATTTTTGTTACACGTTTCCTCTTTGCTCCCTCACAGCCTCCAACGTTAAAAGACCCATCATTAACAGGCACTGGTCAAAGCGGCTAACCAAGCGGCCGCCTCTGATCACGGGTCCTTCTAGGCTCCCTTGCCATCTCCTGGTGGACGCTCTGCCCTCTCCCTCCCCTAAGGAGAAGCAGGACCACACAAAAGTAGGATCAAATGCTTTTAATAACGCAAGCTATACAGGCAACAGACTAACCTCCCGTGCTTTTTCATTTTTGCTAGAGGTTTTACAGCCTCCTCTGGGGGGAGGAATATGAGCCACCAGTGGCCATTTACCACAATTCATGGAGGGTCCACGGAAGGATGAGCTGCCTTGTTCCAAACTTCTGGGACTGAAACGGTCAGAGTGGGGAGGACTTCACGGGCCACTTAATCTGAACTCTTACTCGATGCAGAAGATCCTTGTTAATCCATCTCTCTGTTTAAACACTGTGACAAAAAAGTCCTTATCTCCCAAGGTAGCCAGCTCCTGCGCGTGTGTGTGTTGCATGCGTGTTGCAGGTGTGTGGCGTGTTGGGGGAAGGATTTATAGCCTGGGGGAAAAAACCAGTAAATCTAATGCCGCTTCCTCATCAAATACTACAGGAAATAACATCCCTGTTGTTCCCTTGTCCTGGTTCAGAGCCAGTGTGAAAGCTGTTCCCTCCTCCTTATTGGACATCACTTCCAGATTACTGACAAAACATGGTCACGCTCCTCATAATCTTCTGGTTTGTCAAATTTATTCATGTTTTTAACACCTTGCTTTGCTCCCAAAAGGATCTAAAAGAGTTCGGCGCCTCCCTTATAAAACAACATCTGTAAGGACGGTAGGTTTTTCAAATTCTAACACAGTAGGCAATTCAAATATGAAAATAACTATGGCTATGTCTTAACAAAAGTAAGTATGTATATAAATATATAACAAAAATCCTTTGTGGGGAGTCATTACAAGCATGACACATCACTAGCCATTCCCCACTCTGGTCTTCTCTTAGCTAAAGCCAAAAATATTTTTACCCAAGCAAAAAATAGCCTTTGACACCAGTGAAAGCCACTTATCAGCTTTCTTTTCCTCGAATACAGTCACATCAACAACCAAAGCAGAAACACTGTTCTGTGAAGTACTATGCAGCCACTAAAAGAAAGTACACTGATAGGGAATGATCTCTAGAACTCAAAATGAAAAACAGCTAAGGTGCAGCACCACACGGTAGACCGTGTGACCATTTCTGTTTAGAATCCACACACATTTGTGTACGTGCGCATGTGTATGTATCTATATAGACAGATGTTTACACAGACACAAAATGGCTGTGGAATAGCAAGTAAGAAACTGGTCATTGTGGTTGCTTCAGAGGAGGAAAAGCGGGGATCGGGGGGCCAAGAAATAAAGAAACACATCTGTACTGTGTTTGGGTAGTCTACACATGGGTCAACCTTCCAAAATGTAATTTAAAAAAAGCAAGCAAGCAAGCAATAGCTTTGGGTGGAGGAGTGGAGTCCAGCTTCGGCTTTGATGAGCAGCTTTGCTGAGCAGCATGAAAAACTACAATTCGTGCAACTCCCTTCTGAAGCAAGTGCTTTTCCCTGAACTCTGCTCAGCAACCACTTAGCGGCGACCCTTCTGTGTATCACTGAGAATATCCGTTCCTCACACTCTGGGGATATTTCTGCACATAGGCCTTAATTTCATTAAATGTGAGTTGTTCTCAAATACAAATTTGGACATTCCTTTTCATCAAATAGCTACATAGATCCTCCTGTTCATTATACCGATGCCAAACGAAAAGCACCATTCCAAGGTAAAATGACACTATCAAAAGTCACACTATTGGCTTTCTTGTAATTTGACACAGTCACAAAAACTGCCAAAACGAAAGAAATCTGACAATAACACGTGCTACCTTACTCCTAAATAGGTCCAAATTCTCAGTTTTAAGAAGAAGAAAAAAAAAAGAGAATAAAAGACGTATTATGTATGCTAAATTTAATTAGATATTTAATAAGTATAGTATCCCTAGTCAACAAGGCAAATCGATCCTTTCAGTTCTGGCTGCAGTTTATTTAAAGACTTTACAATGTTACTACTTAAGAGTAAGTCCTATGGAGGTGTTATCTCACCATTTATATTTTCACAACACTTATGATATTGTTATCACACTCTTAAAATAAATGAAAAGCCCATGCCACATTTCAGACCAATGTAATGCTACAGATTCCAATTTTATTTCTAGAAATATACATTAAAATAATTCTGTATTGCTCACTTTATTCTTGCAATGTTGAACATTAAAAAAAAGTAAAACTAAGGTTTTTGTTTTGTTTTGTTCTGTTTTAGGTCCCTGGTACACTTGGAAAGCAGAAGTTTAATTGCTTGGCTTTAACCTTAGGCACCAGAAAACAGAACAGGATAAAATTCTGACAACAATAGCGTTTTATGACAAAATTATTATGCTTTTAATTTTCTATTAAATTGTGATTTATTATTAGCTTGCTACTTTAAAAATTAGTTTGTGTACAGAATGAATTTAGTGGTGCATTTAATGAGACAAGAAGGTAGGATGATGAACATGAAAAGATTATTTCACATCGTAGTGCATGAGCTATTTGATAATTCTAACATAGTACAAAAGAAAGCTTCTCTCTAGATTGATCATGGTTCAGTTAACATCACTGAATATCTAATACCTCCAACTCAATTAATTCTCACCTGATTAAGATCAGACTGATATTCAAACTAAATCATCTCTCCAGTCAAGTAGAAATCAATATTTCTGATTTTACTTTTAAATTACAATAGAAAATAAAATGCACGCATCTTCAATATGCCAAGAGTAGCTTTTCTATTCTAGTCTACCATGGCATGGATAACCAGTTGATTAAAGAATTATTCTAATTTGAGCACCGATATGTAGCAGAATCTGATTAATTTGAACACAGAGATGGAATAAAGTAATTAAATATATCTTATACAGGGCAAACAGAAAATTGACATAAAGTAAACTTGACTTCTTTAAAACAAACCTCACTATTTATCAGCTCAAGTAGTTAGGAACATGTTTTTACTAAAGACTGATCACTCTGAGAGAAGAAAGAGTCTTATTTCAGGTACAGATATTTGTAAGATGGGCAGACACAGTTCTTCTAAAATCAAACTCTTTCTGCCACTGTGATCTCCAAAAAACATGCACCTACCTAAAGACAACCAAACATGACTTTTCCAGAAAAAAGACATACTGACCCATTCTTGCTAGACAGGGTAAAAATTAGTGAATCCTAACAGAACCAAATGCTTACATATTTGTAACTCTTACTCCTGAAGAGAATAATAGGTTTTCCTCCTCTTTCTTCCTTAATGTCACTTCAAATTTAAGATGGAGAAGAGTAAAGTCAAATTATTTGTTGGAGTAACTGAATACAAAGTATTGTTTTGCTTGTTAGCAAACTCAGTAACTCAGAGGAAAATGACAGAAAATTTTCAAATTTCAAATACACTGAAGCAAAGCAAAATCACAGTTAATGTACTGTTAGAATTGAAACTACTACAATTTAGAGAATACTTAGTGTGTGCCATTGTGCATTAGATATTTAATATATACTATGTACATGTCACATATAAAATACTTTTATAAAATACTTTATATATGAAGATATATTTATGTAAAAAATATATTTCACATACATTATTCTCAAACCTCACAAAATGGGTTATTACTCCTACTAAATAACTCATAGATGTTACCTACCTTAGATGTACCTTTTCAGGTGTCTTAGATATATCTATTCATAGAAAAGAACATGAAGAACCAAAAGTTATGCAAATTAGTCTGGAAATAAAAACTTCCAAAATTCATACCCTATGTGAAACAGCCACAGAAGTTACAGACCATGGCTAAGGGCATTAAAATTTAGATTTTATGTTAAGATAGGAATCTCTCCGAAGAAACAGAATCTGATGCTGGGCTGCCTGTACAACTTGCATGCATGGATGCAACTTGGAAGTTGGGCCATTTGCATGTTATACACAAAAGGATATTCTTTGTTTTCATGAAAGACTCGGTTCTATTTTTGTTGAACCAGACAGACATTTCAGTTTGATTTTCTTATGACCGAAACACATTTTTGGAGAAATATTTATTATGTATATATACAAAGAATATATGTGTGTGTGTGTGTGTGTGTGTACATATATACATATACATATATGTGTGTGTGTGTATATACATATATACATACACACACACACACACACACACACAAATATTGGTAAACATTATATATATATATAGAGATAGAGACAGAGACAGAGACAGAGGGAGAAAGAGAAAGGGAAAGAGAGAGAGGAAGTAACAGTACAAGCAGAAAGACTATAATGAACCAATGCACATGCCCCCCTGTTTAAAGATACAGTAGAACTATCTTCCTTGCAGGAAAGGAAACATCATTACCGGATCTGAGGATTTATACCCTTTTTTAGGCTG